AAGTCCGTTTTCTTTGGTCCTGAGAAAAAAAAATTGTTGAAAATTAACAAGGCGGAAAATAACCCCTGATGTTAATAATTGGTGTATTTGCACTCTCAATAATCGCACACTCAATGAATAATCTATATGTTGTTATTTATTATAGAGAGATTGAATACTATTTAATATTTTCGCAAATCCAAAAACTTGTTAAAGCGAAAATATAGACCTCCCAAATTAAAATTCCTTTATAGTACATTAATACATTAGATAGTTCTTAACTCTTTTCCTCCAGACCTCAAATCCAGAAATGACAAAATTCCAAAATGACGAAAAATATGTTAACCATAGATTCAAATCACGGAGCGAGCACTCTAGCGACTGAGCCACCGAAATAAACTACACAAATCTCAGATTCACATACTTAAGACTAACAAACATACAGTCCGCAATATAAAAAGTAAAAAAAAAAATTTCAGTATTAATTTTATTTAAAAGAATTCATATTTCAGGAGTGTCACTTCAATGTATTGAATGTGACAACCCTCTTGAACACAAAATTTCAGAGGTTTACATTAATTACCGTAACGTTAAATGCACAGTTTCCACAATTACAAAAATATGCCTTACAAAAAGGGCTATCGGAATAATTTTGCTATAGCAACTATGTTTTAAATGCTGCAACACACCCTCAAATATTTGCCACGAGGTTAACTGATATATATATATATATATATATATATATATATATATATATATATATATATATATATATATATATATATATATATATATATACTGTATAGGGGGAAAATAACTTTCGGTGTTAATATTCGCTATATTCACGGTGTTAATAAATCCGTGAATTCAAGAAACAATGAATAAGATTTAAATATTAAACCTCAATGTTTTACTTGAGAATAGACTATGATTGGTATATATAATTATGTACCTGGTACAATACATGGTCTTCAGTAATTATGAGTAGTAGTTGTCAATTATCTTAATTATCACCCTTTACTTTAATTCAAATAAGCAACTATTAACTTGTGCTTATAATTAAAAAAAACTGTTTTAATAGATACTTGTTTCATCAATCAAAACACTTGGGTCATGAGTTTTGATTACCCGTGCGTAACGTTACCACACGTGTTTGTTACCTGCATTAGCATTATGCGTACAAGTTTTAAAGGAAATTTTGGATTAAAAAAATATCATTCGAATAACTATCGAACTTGCTGAAGATATGGAAGGATATTATTACGTCTACCTACATTAATATATTTATTAGCGTCCAGTTTTTTTCTCTCGCTGCGATGCGTTATACATTCGGAAAGATGTGTACACATGACTCATCGTAATTTAAGCATATAGGAAAGTCTTTTGACGTTTATAGTAAAAAAAATTAATAACGGCACTTGTTTTGATTAAGTATTAATTAATTAATTAACTACTAAATCTTATCACTTTATATAAACCTACCTTGTTGATCGTGAAGTGAATACATAACGCTGATAAAATGTCATTTCTAGCTATACCATGGATTACACGGATAAAGACGGGAGGTAACTTTTATTATATACCGATTCCGTGAATTCAACAAACCGCGATCGTGTCCGAGGAGAGAAAAACGTGAAAATTACAACCCGTGAAATTAATCCCCTGTACAGTATATATATATATTATACTTTCATGTAAATTTGTTGAATCTGATTCGTCGAGAAACATTTGTTAAAAACACTATTACATGTACCTGCTAAATGATAAAGCCACGCCCTCAAGCGTAGCAACAGTCAACATTGCTTGACGACGGGTGATATTCCAAAAAATAGTGACTGCGCATATTTATGCGCGCAAAGTTCACTGTTATATGTATTTGTATAAAACATTCAGTATAATATAATAAATATTGCATGTAGTGAGTGTAACATTGAAAATTTTCACCCCTCGAAAACCACTGTCAACCTCGGCTACGCCTCGGTTGACAATGGTTTTCTTGGAGTGAAAATTTCCAATGTTACACTCAACTACATGCAATATATATATATATATATATATATATATATATATATATATATATATATATATATATATATATATATATATATATATCCACAATATATTACTTGATCAATTCTACGCAAAAACCATTGTGACGTCACAACCGTGGATATGACCCATATCCACTGCGGAAAGGACTAATAAAGACATACATATGTACATGTAAATAAATGGTCACCAAGCTCCTAAATGTTTTACTAAAACGATCAACTTACTGGGCAAGTATCCTCCACACATGTACATATATGAAATAGCATATTAAGGCTCATTTTTACCTTATAGTTGATTGCAGAAAGAAAGCCATAACCAACAGATAAAAAAGTTGGCTGTCTTCTTTATTAGATAAATCAAGCAAAGTACTCGTACAAATTGACAGTTTTGCAAGACAGTGTCATCAAACAAAATAATAAAAATAAAAGGCTTCAGTGGCATCTAGAATGAAAAAAAATTCTTAACATATTCAATGTAAAAAAAAGTATAAACAAAATATAAAAGTTGTTGTTATCAAGGTTCAAATTAAATATTGTCCTAATTAATCTGACAACCCGTTAGTAATGGTGCTTAAACTTATTTTTATCACGTTCAACTTCAGACAAAATAGATCGTTAACTTCCTTAGGAGATGATTATTTATTTATGATCAACAACCTAACACTTTTACACGAACACAAGGTTAAATAAAACAGATCTCTCCTCCAGCAGCCATTGCTGAATCAATTTAATATAACTACATTTGTTAGTTCATGTAAGAAATGTAAATAAGAAAGTCAGTATCTGATTTGAGCCAAAATCTTTGCGAGAGTTCATCACATCCGCAGTTATAGCCCGATTTAAAAAATGTGTGATGCATGTCTCAGAACCTGAATTTCATTTGACGGCCCTGCAGTCAACATTCGGTTTTAAAAGCTGGCCAGTTTCCGTTATTGCTCTACAATGAGCCCAGCTACACAAAATATAGTTCTCTTGAATATATTTAATGTAAACAGCCATGCAAAATTAAGTTCCAACTCAACATTGCTTTTGTAGAAGGTTTATCACAGACTTTACTTAGATTGAAGATAAGTTTTCCTTGGTTATGAATATACGTACATAAAAATATATATTTTGTCTATTTTACACTTAAATAAAAACTAAAAATGTAACCGATATATCTATTTATATCTTAATATGTAGGACCAATGATGTGACCCTTGGCATATTTGAGGTAACTGAGCGAGGTCTACATTAGCAGTTCGTTATTGCAGTGATAATAACTAATCAGTGTACAGCTGTTAATTTCACGGAATATATAAATCGATCGATCCCCACTCATACTCATTCCGAGGTATGTCTGCGATCTGAGCTGATGGTAGGTCCTTGTTCTTCAATTATTTCTTGGTCTTGCAAGATATGATAACTATAATCATTTTTTAATGTATTTTTTAATATATATATATATAAATAAGCCTATCATCTAGTTACTACGTACTCTATTTTATTTTCAAATTTAATTTTGTAACATTATAAATAATATCTTGTTCCTACGTATGCATTAAGTTATTTGCCTTTTTAAAAAAGCAAAAAATCTGAAGTTGATTTTATAAATAATATATAATTCAATACTCGGAGATTTATTTCTTCATTTGAAGGTTTGAAAGATAGTTTTTTTTTTTTGGAAGAAAATATTGGTAGAAACTTTAGACTATAAATATTCATTTGTTTTGCGAACTGTTCACAGATTTGTGTTGTTTGTATTTTTTTTGTTTGAGATTGATCACTTTTCGTTATCTTTGCCTATTTCATATTCATTTTTAATTTATTTTTCTTGGATACATATAGGAAATCATATAGTCTTAAATACTAATATCTCAAGTTTTTATCAGATCTCTAATAATACGAGTTACAAAGCAGTCGAGATACATTGACTAACATTTATTAAATAAATTGTATTCTTATTTCTAAATGCAATCAATATATCAAATCATGTAATCTATTGTTTATAAGATTGCCTAACACAAGACGTGTTGTTCATAGAAGAAAAAACACGTAGACATAAAAACATACTTCTTATTTTCATTTTTTTTTTTTTGCGTCTGTTGTGTAAAGATGTTTCTCCTGGTTTTTGATACTGTTGTTTTAATCTGAAGTATTATGTTGATATATGGGGGCTACCATGATATTAATTGTAATAAAATATGATATTATGCGTTTATCTTTAAAAGTAATACATGTAAAGGGGTTGATAAAAGAATTTTTGTGCATTATATTTTAATAGGAGACATAATTTATACAAGTAAAAAAAAAAGCTGTCCGAGTGTTTTCCAGACATATTTTCTATTTATCAATAAACATCTTCACTTTGACTACTTTAATACGTGTACGAAAAAAAGACTCTAAATTAAATAAAAAATAAATTGTTAGAAACATACGAGTTTCTAGCTTCTTTAAGTAAAATACTGGTATAATATGATGTTGAAAAAATCTTTCTTGTTAAGTTACTGCGTTCCGCTGCAGAGCTAACACTTTGTGACATTATACTTTGAATTTAACTTCAAGGGGGAAAAGTGTGCTAAAAAATCCGCTTGTTTAAAAACAGATAAAACTCTTAATAAGCAAGTACCAGCTTGCATACTTATTTTAATCAATCATGTCACAAACATTAAAAAACAGTTGTGGGATTAAGTAATCAGTTCGAGAAATATATATGCATGAAAACCTGATTAAAATCAAAGATAAATATCGGTTCCACGATATAATATCCGGGATCAACTTCAATTAGTAAGCTGTTCTGATGTTAGGTGACGTGGCAGCGATCACAGCTCGTCGAAACGACGTACATATTGTTGTTTTAATACACCGGCTTCTTCTCATTCTTACATTCTTTGTCGATTTGTTTTTTGTATTACACGTAAAGACCTTATCTTGATTAAAGAATATTAACAGACATGAAACTTAAATATTATTTAACCCATTTTTTTTCAGATGGAGTGGAACACAGCAATGGACAATTACACATTTTTAGAGAATGAAACGGGGCCGAGCTGCAATTCCTCCAACTGCTTCCTTAGAGGGACCATGAACGATACTCAGTCTATTTATCGCTTTCTCCAAGTCTATATTCTCCCTGTGATCGTTTTCTCCGGTCTTATCGGGAACACTTTGTCAGCATGTGCATTTCTCGTCAAAGAACTTCGACGTATATCGTCAACAGTTTACGTAATTGCCGTCCTCACAGCCGATAATGGAGTTTTGATTTCTCTTTTGTTTGTCTGGCTGGAGGTTCTTGGTTTTCGATTCAATCACGAGGAAGGGATGTGTCAGTTTCAAGTTTATTGGAGTTACATTTGTACCTTTTTGTCAATCTGGTTTGTGGTTTGCATAACGGTCGAAAACTACATCACTATTTGCCATCCAACCCGGATTACTTCGATGTGCACAGTTCGGCGTGCTGTGATTACAACAGTGTCATTGCTTGGCTTTGCTTTGAGTTTCTATTCCGTATTTATTGTGACAACGACCGTCAATGTTCACAATTTTGGTGCGAGATTGGTCAAAATGTGTGAAATTGGCAGCAAGTTCACCAAACTAGTGGTCCTTTTTGTCAATGCAGATACTGCCATAACATTTATAATACCCTTGGTTTTAATCATGTTCATGCTCATAGCTATTTCTCTCTCCGTCATCAAGTCTGTACAACTGAAAAAGAAACGAAGTCTTAATCAGAAAAATACTAACAATAACAGAGCCAAGTCTATACCGCAAGTACGTGTGGCCAAAATGCTGTATATTCTCTCTCTGACCTTCGTGATTTTAAGTGTGCCTAGTCATGCTCTGCGAACATACATCTCATTTGGACCAGATTCTCTGAAGGTTTCAGAGCAAATCGTTTTAATTCATGCTGTTTTACAATTTGTTTACTACACAAACTTTTCTATCAAATTCATATTGTTTGCATGCTGTAGTAAAAATTTTCGTAAATCTTTGCTCTTAGCTATGAATTGTCACCATCAGTTATACTCTCCGGTCAGCAGTACCGGAAGTACTAGATGTCAATAAACTTATTAACTTTGCAATTTTGTGGTTTTTTTCTATTACACCAACGCATTTTCGATGACGTAATGTAGAAAATCACGAAAAAATGAACACTATATATACAAATGGATTACAAAATGTATAAACTGTAGTTCATTTTAAAAAAGAAATTAACGAGAGTATCCTATCTTCGATCGTCATGTAGGTGGTTTATAAGTTCATTGTTTTCTCAGTGTTTACTTTAAGTCTGGTACAAATCAAATTTTAGAAAATTTCAGAATGTAAACTATTCTGAACTATGAAAAAGGTATTAATAGAATATAATAAACTAAAGCTTCTTTCTTAACGAGCATCTTTCTGCGGAATCAACAACGCCCTCATATGTGACGGGGGGGGGGGGGTTCTTCCCGTCCTTTGAAACTACAAAAATTATTGTTTTACATAACAACACTAAACATAATATACAATAATCCACAATACAATAATTTAAAAGGCCCGACTCGAAACTATTTAAAAACATCTAGGAAACGATTTTTAAAAATTCATTCCGGAATTTCTTGGACTGAATGAAATATTGTACGGTATTAAAGTCATTTTCACTTACGCTTGAACCCAGATTGGATGTTATTCACTCGGACACGTAGCCATGGTAGACATTTGGGGAGTAATCCATACGGTCTCTTCAAGTCAAGCGGTGCCCTGTGTAGCAAACACTCATCCTTTTGCGGATTAATTTTCCGACATTAAACCCGTTTTACATTCTTTAGAGATAGTTGTTAAACTTGAAAATTCCCATGTCTAGAGGATCTAGTAGCTATATTTGAATTTTACTTATCGGTATAATGGTTTTTATACGGCGACTTTGTGTTATTTTGGCTGTTTTTTAAGCACAGTTCAAGCCTGATCTACCCCAGAAGAAGTCAACATATGTATTCAACCTATTAAAATAAAAAGGCGAAGATTACGAACACTGAAGATCTTAAAAAATCTTTTTAACTATACAAATTTATAAACTTTCTTGCGAGGATTGGATAATACATCATCTGGGATGTTTATCAGAAATCTTTCCAAATCAAGTCAAGGTTTTTTGTCCGCTCTGCTTTCCAGGGATCTTATGCATAAAGAAATGCAACAAATATAGGTGCAACCTTAATCAGATACATATATATTAATTACAAACATGCATCACTCGTAATAATTTTTTGATTAATTTCAAACTCATCCATTGTTACCTTCTTGCAAGATTGAGCAAATGTGTGAATTTAGCACCTAGTCACGTGTCTGAGTTGTTTCATCGATCATGTAAATCGATTGAAGTCAGATACGTTAGCAGGTGGAGGTAGACTCCGATTAATGTGTAAATGATGCAACATTTCGATGTTGGCGCCAACCTTGACCTACAGCTTGCGAAACTGACTCAAAATTAAACGTACTCGATGATTCAGCAAACGATATTGATACAAGGGGTTCTGATTGAGACCTAAATAGTTGGACTGTGACCAAATTCGAACTTGACTTGCATATTCCTATGACGTATCCATAAGTCAAATTTGAGTTGAATGTGTGCAATTGTTGCAGAGATAATGAACGGAAAGTGAATGATGACGGAACAGGGTAATACTATATGCCCCGGCCATTTCATGGCAGGGGCATAAAAATATCTATCGTTAAGTCAAATGTTGTCTGACGTCTTTCATACAAATTATTAGGCTGTTATTTTCACACTGAATTTTCTGCTGATTTCTTCGATTACCCGATAATGACAGAGCACACGGTGGCTGTGACTGGTCGACAGGGAATGCTCACTCTACCATGATACCTGATCTCACCTCTGTTGTCAGAGGTCCGTGTTTTCTCTGCTCACAATTTGTAGTATTTTTTGGACTTTTGAGCAAGATTACTTTTCTTTATAATTTTCAAATTTCATTATTTACTTGTAGTTCATTAGTATTTCTGACATCGACAAACGTTTGTACCCGAACTGGGTAGTTCCACACCTTCATTTGGTCACTGGAGTCACTCAGGTGATCTATTGTTATCTGTTTTTGTCCATCGTTGTGCCATGTGCGTCATGTGTAAACTTTTCACATTTTCAACTTCTCAAGAATCACTGGACCAATTTCAATCAAACTTGCCACAAAGTATCCCTGGGTGAAGGGGATTCGGGTTTTCAAATGAATGGCAGTGCCCCCTTCAAAGGGGTTATCAAGAAAAGACGAACATAGGATGGGGCATTTAAAAATCTTCTCAATAACCACTGGGCCAGAGGAAATGAAACTTTTAAGATATTCCAAATATAGTATAGATTCAAGCTTGTTAAAATGTAAGGTGCGGACACAAGACGATCAAATTTTACATGGAAATATATAGGAACAGATTTTGTAAAATATTCTTTTAAGAACAGAAAAGCCATGATTGGTCATATTAATATGAAATGATCCTCAGATAGTCTAGATTAAAGTTTGTTCATATCATGACTCCCAGGGGAAGGGTGGAGCCACAATGGGAGATCAAAGTTGTACATAGGAATATATAGAAAAATTAAAGTCTTTTTTTAGAAATAATTTATTGTATTTTTCATTGTTTTACAAAGAAAAACATGAGAGAGAGGGAAAGAGAGAGAGAAACTGATTCAAATAAATAAATTCTTCTCTCTGTAGAAATTGAACCAAAGATGGAAAAGAGAGGAGAAAGCAAAGAAAGGGATAGAAAGACAGAAGAAAAAAGCGTAGAAAAAGAAATAAAAGGCATACAACAAAACAGTTCAAAAATATGCGAGCGTCTTTGTTCGAATTGCTGTCCGAGGCCAATGTTTTGTCAGCCAGCGGGCTGACTAGTTACGGTGGGATGAAACTGCAAGTGCGCTTGCGTAATTTGGAATTCTGGGAAAAAGATGTACACGACTTGTTCTAAAGAAACTCGTTCTATTTACTCCACGAAAGGGCGTGATTCTTCACAAACACCCTCTGAACAAAGAAGCGACCTCGATCTATTTATAGACTGCATTGTTCTTCGTCGTTCTCGGCGAAAAATTAAAGAAGAGATTGTTCTAAGTGGGAAATATGATACTATGAAAATATTTCAGTGCTTCTTATAGAAGATGAGAAGTTTATATGCAGAGTACATTTAACACTTGATATATATACCCTCAATCGCCGTTGCAAGTTCACGGATTTGTGTGTATTCCTCTGAATGATTGATGCAAGACTCCCTCGATCAATACCTTGCATAAGACATGTACGGGTCGGAATTCACACAATATTCCACTTGCACAAAGGTCCCAAAACAGTGAAAAAAAGAATCTCTTTTCACTTTAATCATGAAAGTTATGAAAACGTCAGAAGATCAATTAAGATGTGTAAAGTCTTATAATTTACACGATGGTAGACATAAGTGCCGCTTGTGCACTTGAACCGCACCCACAGGTGAGAAACTGACCACAGTAGAACTTGAGAGTTGAGAGAAACTGCGCGGATTTATAGACAGCCCCCCCCCCCCCCCAATTAGAGAGAGTGAGCGAGATGAAATCCAGTATCATTTTAGGGTATACGTACTGTATGTATAAAATATTTTGAATTTCCAGTTTATTACTTTATTTTGGAAGTAATTCTTTTCTTTCCTAATAACACTAAAATGAATGCTTAAATTTAGAAATTGAATTAAATATACATACAGTATGCACCCCTCCCCCTTCCCCTATCATGCATTGCCTCGAACCTGCACGATTAAAAACTTTTATCTAATAATAATTAACACAATCTAACCCAAGGTCTACCTTCCTTTTAAGCATAATAATCTATATCATTTATAGAATTTAACAGTAAAATTGAAAATGTATACATTCTTCAACGTTCAATGATTGGGATCATTATAGTGGCTTTGTTCATTTCTGAGACGAACTTTATCTCATGGCCGTAGGAACCGGGGAGGGGGGCACGGGGGGGGGGGGGGGGGCGCGTGCCCCCTCCCCCCAATAATTGTTCCGATATATAGACTACTATAGAAAACATAGCTACTATATGCTTGTGCCCCCTCAATAAAAACGTCTGATGACTCTTTTTTTATTATTATTTATTTATTTTTTATTTATTTTTTTGCTTGTCTAGGAATTTTTGGTAGTTAATAGTGCCCCTCCAACTGAAAATGTATGGTTGTCCCCCCCCCCCCCCAACTGAAATTGCTTCCTACGGGCCTGTATCTGATGTCCGCGTCCAAGAGAAATTAATTGGAGGTCATCATAAAGATCACAATGTAGTCTAACTAAAATTTATTCTATGCTTTATTTAAGGAATAACCGTCTAATTTTTTTGGATTCATGATGTGATCAATCGAGTGGCTTGCGTGATAATTTGCATAAACGCCGAAGGCGTTTATGCATAAAATTATCACGCAAGCCAATCGATTGATCATCGTCATGAATCCAAAAATCTGACAGTTATTACTTATGTTTACATGCTCCTGATTCTGCAAATTCCCGTGCTAATAGTCCCGCTTCTGTCTCTATTTGTCACGCCCCGCACGTGATTTTTTTTTAACCGCGCCTATCGATGAACCAGTAGATTTATGTAGAAATAAAGTATTTTTACAATTTGTAATTTTATCTCGGACAAAGACATTGGAAATGTAAATATTATCTATTATGTACAGCATTATGTTACAAATAAGAAAACGACTGGGCGAATTTTAACTTAGACGACAATGACTTTTAATGAACACAACATGATGGATAAAACAAATCATATACCATCACAAACCAAGAAAGAAACTTTCTGTATTCGAGTGGTTGACTGTGAGCTTTTTTTTTTAAAAAAAAGCTAACCTTGTTACTCATCACTCTCTACCATCGGCTCATACATTCACCTCTGTCGTTGGCTCGCGTATATCACAGTGATAAGCACGAGAAATAGTGCGTTAGTTTAAATTCATTATAATTAAATGCCTGCACTAAAGTTCCTCTTTTAAGGTAGATATTTACTATGTATATCTAAAACTATTAGTTTAATTTGAAATAATCCTTGTAATATCATGTTTTATTACGTTA